TATCAATCTGCTATATAAGTAAAGTCCCAAGGTAGCGGACTTGATGGTATTATGTATTATGATGTGGACTGGTGGGAAGGTCTGACGTTTGAGCGTGCATTTTCTAGTTCAACCTGATCCGCCACCGAGTGCATCAGTCGGTAATTAGGTTCATATGTCGTTGGATTGGAGACTCCAACAACATATGCTTCTGCTAGGAGTTTGGAGTGTGTAGATGGGATTGTGTTGTCGCCCGTATAGATTGTGAGTTGCCTGTTCGGACGTATAGATATGTCAGCAGTGTATAGGATTGGACATAGAGTGGAAACTTATTTTCTAAAATCCGACGTATTTATATTTGGTATGGGGTTTGGTTTCGCCTCTTTCTTGCAATTTTTTAAGATTTTTTTTCAAAAAGTTCTTGAAGAATATAAACCTGTCATCGGTTTCTGACAGATTTTACTGCTCTCAAGAATTCTCCGCTTCTCTTCTCTCATAAGAGCACATGATTTCTCAATTTTTTTAATGAATATGCTACGTTTGTTAAGAAGTCGTGCTAGACCCCTGTGACGTGTCATATCATTTTGACGTCCCAGTCATGTGTGAAGCATTTGGCGATGTACAACGTCCGCAGTTGGGAACGGAATATTATTTAGTAGACAGAAGTGGGGATTTTTTACGAGAGTGAAGTTAATGTTGGTGGATTTGTCTGTGTTCCGAGATTTCCGAGTGGAAATGATAGGATCGGATTTACTTGAGATGCTGTATCGTCTGTACACGTGCGTGTGATGGAATGTCAGTTGAAACCTGGATAGTGTGGGGGGGCCAGAAAGCTACCCTGAGGAACACACCAGCACGGATAGGGGAATATGCAGTGCAGGAATTGCCTCAAAGACTCGGAAAAACCGATCAGTGAGATAACTGTCCAGTAAGAGATATTAGAGGACGGAAGGATGCCCCTCAGCAAGCAGAGATGCCACACGTTCTTTTCAGTTTTTTTTAAATGTTGCTGGAAATTTTACCAAAGTGCCCATATTGTAGGGAAAAGCGATCTTACTGATTTTAAAAAAATATCATGAAGCCTGTGAATATTTCACGGCCAGAATGAAATACATACCAGATATATTTAGCTCCAAATAGTTCAACGTAGCAAACCTTTAGCCTCTAAAGCCCAAAGAATTAAAAATAAAATTCATGTTAAAATATTAAAATTGTTTAAGATTCAAGATTATGTATTTAAATAATAAGGTTATTCGATACGTTACCAGAATAATGTAAAATACTTAGATACAATTAAGCAACATCAATAAGAATTAACAGAAATAATTTAAAAATTAACGTAATTAAATTAATATAATTAAATTCAGTTAATTGTGTCTAAAAAGGTATTGATTTTCTCAAAAATGAATAAGAAATAAATCTGGATTTTATTCCTTCACTTTAAACGGACTGCGCTGATCTAATTTTTAAGTAAGGATTTAATTAAAACCGTCGACAAAAGAAGGCTTGTCCATTAATCCTTTGTTTTCCACCGGAAAGAGATAACTTGAGCGTAAAGGATACGTCGTTTGCCGAAATCCCGAAACATTTTTGGAGAATGTAAACAACAAAAGAACTTGCACTTCGTTATCAAAACGGGCAGTTTTATTGTGTAAAATTCATTCTTGTCTGGATTCTGATTGAACATTTTTATGAAATTTGTAATATTTTAGCAAAAAGGACGAAAGTACCTATAAAAATGCACCAATTGATAATAAACAATAAACCTGCAGTCCAATTAATATAAAAAAAATTAATATCATACAAATATAAGCAAAATAATATAAAACGCCCTCTCTTTCGAGTTTCCAAACACGGATGATCCGGGTCGATCATACATCGGGAAAAACAATATCTTATAATAAATAATACACAATCACGTCAGAATGGCACTTCATATAATCGCGATGATAAGACTTTAATCCGGCACACTGTAAATGGGGAAAAATGATGGACTTACAATTTTGAGTAGCGCAGTAATTGAGTGGTGAGGAACTATCGATTCGTAGACACCGTTTCTTGAAAAAAAAAAAAAAAAAAATCTGGTACATACAATTTCAAACTTTAATGAGGATTTCCTTGGACAAAAAGAACTTTTTAATATTTCTTACAAAACTTTCTAAAATTGTTGTTTTTAGGTAACCATTATTAAAGTGAGAACATTAATATGAGCATTGAAAATAATTCAGGCGTTATTTAGAACAGGTAGCATTTAGAAAATCGTAAACATCAAACAAGATTCAGTAATTCCAAGTACTCCGAGAATAGACAGACTCAGAGGTACAGTTCAACAAATAGTCAATCATAGATCACCCAACAAACAAGGAGACAACCAGATTGGTGGGTCATGGATTTGGACCAAACTATTTTTGGGCATTCGGACACGCATCCGCCCCTTCTTGTGAATATGGTCGTACAACATTTTTGTTTTTATGTTAACCAACAATGAAATTGATACACCAAAAATCCTTTTTTAATCACTAAATAACGATTTATGCTCATTTAATTGCGACTAAAATTAGATTTTGAAAAAAGCTTCCATTAATCCGATTAAGAATTCCCTTAAGTCTATTTCTAATGAACACGTTGTTATTGGATAAGTGAAGTCTTTGTTGACAAGTGAGAATAAATACAATTATTCCATAAATACTCCCACTTTTCCAATAACATGTTCATTATAAATAGACTTAAAGAATTCTTGACTGACATTCCTAGTGCATGCTCTAGCATCATTTTCTAAAAAGCTAGTGATCTATTTTCATTGTTGATAATTCATTTTAAAAAAATTGTCCACTGCATTTTATAACTGTATCGAACATTAAAGTCGGGCTTTTCTAATTGAATAGCGATTAATTTCTGGAAAATAATTTTGCTCTTTTGTGTCTTTTTTTTATAGAAATATTTTATTTATTTTAAAGCTACATGCGGTATGTTTGACGTCAAACTCCAGTAAATCTGAGTAATTGTATGGGTTAAAAATCGATAAATTTAAATTCAAACAAAAATTCGTATTTTGGGTTCTCTATAGGTGCTTAAAATAAAATTTCATATTAGTTTCACAGAAAAAAATTTGTTACTTGGTTTACTTGAAAAATATTTGGTTTTTAGAAATTTTTTCGTTATTGATAAACTTGGATAGATTTTGGTATATTTTTATTGTAACCTACATAAAAACTGCTATAAAATCATATATTCCTATAGTTGATTTGGCAAATAGAAAGACGAAATAAAAATAATATAAGGAAAATTTCAGCTTTAAACACGAAACAAAAATTGGCTAAACTTATTCACAAGACGTAGCGGGTACGTGTTCGATATTTTGGAGTGTAAAACCACCAAAATAAGTTTGGTCCACATCCGTGGCCCACCAAACTGGTCGTCCCCTTGTGAGTTCTTAAGAGCATATTTACTGCTTTGGGGCTAAAATCAAAGTTCTGCAACCCAGTGTTATTGGATTTATTTAAATCATCCAAAATATGTAAATGCAAAACTAAAATAAAACTTTTCGAAGTGATTATCTCATTATCTCACTATTTACTCGTTACAGCAGAACTGATCCTTACGGTTACATTTTTTCTCGCAATTTTCAAAAAAAAAAAAAAAAAAGAGAATGTAATTAAAGAATCTGGTTTAACCCGTTGAGTACACATGAGAACTGTGGTTAATACAAGCCATCAGTTATTTATGTAGTTCCTGGAGTTTTAAACAGTTTATTTGGTATTCCCGTATAGCGGGAAGACATCTATCGTATCTACCTTTGAACAGTTTTGATTTTGGCTTGGCGTATTTGCCCACATGAAGTTAATGAACATTCACAAAATACAAGCCCTAAACATCGTTCTTAATTAATTTAAAACATTGTTCGATAGAAATAAACAGTTCAATATATTTATTTCCGTTATTTGTGACGTTATGCCTCAATTGATTTTGAATACCTGTCTTACCATGGGTTCAAAGAAAGAAAAGCGAGAACGTTCGGACCTGGGACCATTTTTAATTTTGGATGCCCTTCGATAAGATTGTTCTAATAAATAGAAGGTCTATTAAGAAGTTCTAATCATCATTTCTAATTAATTTAAAACCTTAAAAATTCAGACCTAAAGAAAAAGTGTAATTGCTGGATTCGAATACGTTCTGATAGGTCAAGATAACAAAAAAGCGACAACGTTCGGATTGGTTGAAATGAAAACAAGCGATAAGAATCGGATCAGGGTTGATTTTTTGATTTTGGATTAGTCCCACCATTAGACCATTCTTGTGTACGTAAGAGGTCAGTTAATCAATTCAAAACCCATCATCCATTCTAATTAATTTTAAACACATCTTGCGAGAATGAAGCAGGTCAATAATTTTTTGAGCAATTCTGACTTTATTCCGAGAAGGATTTGGACAGCGTAGCGTAGAAGTTCAATATAAAAGTTGGAAAACTTTTTGACCTGTGAAGATATTTTTATTTTGGATTAGTCCAATGCGCTCACGTGAGGTTAATTAATGAACTGAAGTCAATCATCGTTTCTAATTAATGCAAAAAATAACATGTCCGATCCAAAGAAACAGTGAAATTAAATTTCCTATGTTACTCACAAATGATTCGGACAACCTGATGAGCAGGTTGATCTAAACAAGCCAAGGTGGATTTTTTGATGGCTGATGAAAAGATTCATCATAAGATGAAATCTTGGCGTAGTATTGATGATATTGATGATAGTCCGTATAAATCCGAAAAATTAAATTTTTAACAGAAGCCACTGCCAGATAGTCAATTTAATGTTTGATTAAAATAAATTGTATGATAGATGAAAAATTATTTTGGCTACCGTTTGAGAAACGAAAGTTACATGTTAACAAAATTCAAATTCTGTCTAGCATATAGATTTAAAAATTATATAGTTACATATTTTTTTATGACACCCTTGTCCAGAAGGTTTGTTGAAATTGTGCTTGAACCTTACTCGCTAAATGAGATTAATTGAATGAAATACCTTTTCTTCCCCTCGAGCTTCTGCTTCCGTCGTAGTGTTGGCGATACTGGGCCGGATCTCCCGGTTTTGAGTAAACCACCCTTCTTCGTGGGGACAGGCGCGGTGGTCCCGAGGGCCATAATCTCCCTCCCACACTCGTTTATCCTTTGACGTCCTTCGAGGTGGACCACCAAAAGGTGCGGAGGGCCTTGTCCAAGGGGTGTTTTCGGCAGTTCTAATTACCTAATGTAATGACTTTTGTCAGTAATTCTTAATGTATAATTGTCCTAATTTTTCGGTTTAATGGAAATCCCCATAGGGGCGATTAATATAAAGATGTACATTTATCATCATTATTATAAGAAAACATAAAATAATGAGAAAACGTTAAATTTTATTTCATTACAACATTGTCGCTTTTTATTTGCAAGAATCTTTTCTTTGTTCCTGTTGCTAAAAGGAACGTCTATTGTGAAGAATCAACTCGAACGCCTTATTGTTCATTGTAATAATAAACTTTCAATTATAAGTTGCAAAATTACTTCATTTTTAAGATGTTTTGTTTTCAAGTTTGTCTTAAACGAGTCAATTTTTTTACAGCTGGAACTTTCACCATGGAAATAAACGGCCCTTTTATCTGAACTTCATGACTTCCGGGTTATCTAAGACTTCGAACACTCGTTTACCTGGAAGGTAAGAACATCAAGCCTTAACCTTTCTATTTAACTTCAGTGTATTAAATTAAAACAATTTTATTTCATCTAAACCTTAAATCACTCCAAGAATCGCGATTCCAAACTCTTTGCTGATTCAATGTACTAAATGATAAATAAATTAATCTAGTCGGTAGAAACGTTAGCAATATATAGCTAACAAGCTTGATTCTCTCAGTAAATAATCCATGGGAAAAATGGTACTTGTACTGGAGGTTGATAACACGAAAATGGGCGATGGGGTGAACAAGTATGGTTGAAATCGCCAAGCTTTGAAAAGAAAGTAAAGGAGGCTGAAATTCACTGGACATTTAAATAAAGGCATCTAGGCTTACGATAAGGACGTAGCGGTAGTTGCTGAAGTCGAGGAAAAACTTATCCCTCCTGTCTTTAGTTGAGGGAAGCAACATTGCCCTCTGGAGTCGGATAGAGAAATGTGAAGCTTAGAAGTTTGATAAACACGCAACCTGGCTGAAGATGAGGACGGTATCTAGCTCCTCAAGTCAATACGACGGTTTCGGTCTTCAGGACCGTGACGAACATAATGGAGTGGCTCACTTATCGAACGAAAATAAAAAAGACGAACGATGCGCTGGTCTAAATAAGCGACCGTTTTAGTCGTCAGATAAAGAATGTAAGAAATCATTTCGTTTTTTGGTCTTCAAAGCTGGTCCAAGTAGACTGGCTGGTGAAGATGGGACAGCTGATGTAGTGTAGTTTCTGAAGTAAAATAAGAAAATAAAGCTTTCCGTAAGTTCGACTTAAGACAACTGAAAAAATGAGGCAGCAGTGGGATTTGCCAAAGTCAGTTAAGAAAGAAAGCCTTCTGGCTTTTGGCCTTCAGGCTACTGGTCTGGTCAAAGTTGAAGAAATAATAAGGAACAAAGAAGCTTTCCAGACGTTGATGTTTGTGGGCCGAGCCGAAAATGAACTGCTGAAGTCATATAAGAAAGAAGCTTTCTGGATTTTGGTCCATACAACTGACCTGGGTGAGGAATCTGCCGTTACTTGAAGAACGAAGTTTCTGGATGTTGGTGTTTAGATATTGACCAGGCCGAAGATAAGAAAGCAGTGGTAGTTTCTGTCGTCGGATAAATGATGTAAGAATCATTCTGGTTTTTGGTCTTCAGGCAACTAACCTGGTAAAAGTTGAGGAAGAAGGTGAAAAAATGTAAAAGTATCTAAAGTAAAAGATGGATTATGGGGAGCAGGTGTAATTTCTGAAGTAAAATAAGTAACAAGGAGCTTTCCAGGCGTGGGTGTTTGTGTTACAGGCCGGGTCGAAGATGAGACTACAGTGGTAGTTGCTGAAGTCGTATAAGAAAGAAAGAAGCTTTCTGGCTTTTGTTCTTTAGGCAGCCGGCTGGGTCCAGGTTACTTGTTGAACTCAAATACAAAAGAATGAAACTTTGGATGTTGATATTTAAGCAACTGGCTGACTTAAGAAAAGAAAATAGTGATAGTAGTTGAAGTAGAATAAGAATGTATAAAGCTTTATCGTTTTAAGTCTTCAGGTACTTAAAATTGCTTCCCTACCTTTGGCCGTTTATATTAAATAAAGAAAAATCAATAATTTCTATCTTTAATGAAGAAACAACTGAAGATAAGGAAGCATCAATATTTGCTGAAATCACTTGATGAGGATGCTCTTTTCGTTGCTTACTTTCCCGAGGTGACGAAGCTGCTTTAATGAAGACAAATAAGCAAGAATAGAACACTCCGGCCTTTAGGGAACTTCGTTGTGTACTTGTTGTTTGTATAGATCTGTAGTATTAGGCAAGGAAAGTGGATAATATATATTGAAAATAGCACAGGACCCTGCACAACACCCACATAAACGTTTTTTTGAATACGGACTTTTGTAACTTGAAACTTAACGATTTAACTTGTTGAATATCAGAAGACAACATAAACTGGAAAACTATACTCGATTGTCTTAACACTCATCGCTAATATAGTTTTTCTTTTCCAGTTCGTCCACGTTTTTCCAAATGATATAAAACAAATGCTTTCGACAACCGACGATACGACTTGTTTTGTTAATTATTATGGGGTTCAAAAATTCCTAAAAGCTGTATAAAATAATATCAAGGTTCGAATGGCACTGGAACTACATCCAATAAAGCTTCTACTCGTTGTAGGTGTTTTCATTATCCGAAAAATCATTGTCGGGGATCAATCCAGTAACAACACGGTTTTGGCATTATTCCGCCCACTCGGCCAAAAATGTTTATGCATTGCGAATCGATATTGATTCCCCTTGTTTTCTAGAGCGAGAAATATTCTCTGCCCAAAGGTCTCCTTCTGACAACTGATAATGAAGCGGTTTAAAAAACATTGGGTGAATATCTTCAAACGTCATCACTGCTTTCAAATAAAATGTTTCTAGATAAAAAATCTGAAGTTATAGCTTGATATAAATTTTTTTTCTCTAATATATCCATTTTTTCGGTTAGTCACATCATGAAGTGACATATGTTGGCTTATAATAATCTGAACTTACTTAATGTGTTGCAAACAATAACAAGACAACAATGGAAAGTTTATAAACATGCAAACTGTTCCAACAAATCGTGCAACCCAGATAAACATACTAAAAAACTATTTACAAAGTTTATATAAAATTATAACTACTAGAGATATACTACAAAAAACTAGGGCAAAAGATTCGAGAAAAAACAGTTTAAACAATAGAACCTATCTAGGGCTAAAGATACAAGCCTGTATATCCCAAAAAACAAAAATAGCAACTGAATTCGTAAATAAAAGCGCCAATTACAAAACCTATATGAAACAGTACAAATAAGCTAGAATAACATAAAAATAGGATAGGGCTCGAGCAGTACGGTTAGGATGGTTCGAAAGGTTAGTATGGAAGGTTTGGAATCTGGACAGGATTAGATCGTTGACAAAAGGAATGTTGAAGTCTTTGTGAATAGTGAGGTTAGTAACATAATAAGGTGCTTTGACAATTTGTCTAAGGACTTTCCATTGGAAGGACTGGATGCGCTGGATATTGGAAGGCTTGGCAGTGCCCCACAGTTACACTCCGTATGTCCATATTGGTCTTAGTAAAGTCTTGTACAGTGTTAGCTTGGCCTTAATTGTCAAAGTCGATTTCGGTCTAAAAGTATTTGTAGTAGTCCAAGTCTTGTATTAAATTGCTGTTTTTTAAGTCTTATGTGGGGATTCCACGTCAGTCTGCTGTCGAGATATAGTCCCAGATAATTGACTTGAGTGAAAACTGGTATCTCTTTGTTGTTGATGTACAATGGAGGGCAAGACTGCTTTTCAGCGTAAAAGTACGCTAAGTGCATTTTTCATCGTTCAGTCTTGTCCTCCATTTTTTACACCAGTCTTCGATAAGCTCAACGTGTTCCTGGATATTGGAGGTAGCTTGGACAGGATAAAAAAGGATCAATTTTGGAAATGAAATATTATAACCTGAGCCAAACCACAAAGGAACTTACAACCTAGCTTAAAAAACACTGGATTGTGTATTTAGCTATTAGGATTGTTTTAGCTTAGTTAAGTTAAAAACTGCAATAATGAAAAAGAAACAATGTGGCAACAATCACAAAAATCTGTGTGGTAACCTATAATCAAAATTTGGCCAAAACGAAATTTTATATTTGGAAAAACTGTAATTAACAATTGAACACTTAGAAACGACAAAAACCCATTTTTAAACAATATAGTCGTTGATTATTTGGAGATCGTGACATGCGGTCTAGTATGACGTAGGTTTTAGAACACCATTTTCTTTATGGTGCTCACGTTTCGATCTTTATTGAGATCATCTTCTGACCTCAAAGTGTTTGTTTTCCCTGTATATGCGTCATTCTTGTGTGTCGTGTTGACAGGGCCCCAAAATAGTCAGGCTTGAAGTGAATTAAGACGACCCATTTAAAAATTTACACTACCACAAAAATTTAGTTTTACTTCGTCTAGTCAGGACGTCGTCATAAGTTCGCAGTTAGGAGGCGGATATGATTGAAGTATTCGGGAGGATCTTATTGCGGATGAAGAATATGTGGCTTGAGTTTTCTATGTTTGAGTTTCCTTTCTTTTCTCCAGTAGTGTGAGGTGTGGTTGAAGGTTGTGGAAACGACTTGAGTTCATTTAGAGGGTAGCTATACCGTATAGAAAGGTAATTTGGTGGTTTGATGATGGGATGAGATGGGGAGGTCAGCTTTGTACACATGATGAAGTGCGCCACAACGCCATATTGAGGGTACAACAGGGATAAAACAATATTCATAGAGGAATTGCTTTCGTAACGTGTGGTATGCGATGGCAGAAAGCTCTTGTGTATGATTAACTTAAAACAAAGTCTGAAAATATTTAATTAAAAAACTCCTAAGATTGGCCTGAAAATACTATTAGTACCTACTGGCCAGATTTGCCTTGAAACTAGCCTGACCCAAGGGCATATAAAGCCTAAACCACCGACAACAATATGGACAGTTCCTCACTGAAGCCGGCGCAGTGCTGAACTTGTTCAAGTAATTCAAAAAACCCGCGAGTGTAAACGGACCCAATAAGTAACCCAGTGCCAGTTCAATATATAACCTATAAATTAAATAACACTATAAAAATAAATAACCATCTTTTAGGTTATGTTTTAACTTATATTTTAATTTCTTGTAAATACGGTAAAACGCTGAAATAGTCTTAAAAAGTAGGAGTACACCTTTAAAAAAATCAAAATTATTAATGTAATTGGAAAAATATCCAAACACTTAATTGATCGTCAACCATAGACACATTTCAGCATGCCTTATATGATAACAAAGTAAGATTTGTGAGTTATGCTATTTTGTCACGGAGTTATTGGCTCCTCATTTTGTATAGGTTTTATAAAATTTGGAAGTTCAGACCAATTTTGGTGAAATAATACACATGTATACACTTTTGTCGATGATTTTGGCTTGAAAACCTAATTACTTTTTAATAGGATTACAGTTATTCACGTGTTAT